CCTGAAGAGAAGAGAATGTAGTAGTAGGTCTGATTCCAGATGAGATAAGACTTTGTTATAACAAACTTAATGTTAATGGGCAGGTTCTGGTTTAAGTGAGTTATTCAGTATCACAAAAAGACTTCTGACAGATAGGAAAAAAAAAAGACAACTATCCAAAATGGTATTCAATTTTCTTAAGGGAAAATCTTACAGCTGGCTCTTATCCTGTAGTTTCCTGGCTTGTTCATTATGCAGTCCTCACTGCTAGTGACAATCCTTTGCACTGAATGAAATAATGTGAACAGTAGCATTTGACTAAAAAGAAAGTACTATAATACCTTCTGGCTGAAATTTGACCATAAACTTGATTCTGAAATTTTTGAAGTTTGTGAGCATTCATAAATACCAAATTTGACCTAGTATAAATACTGTTGGACCACAGGTCTAACAGCGTTTTACTTAATGCATATTTCCCATATCCAGGAAAAAAAGACATGAGAAAAAGAAACCTAACACCTGACCACATGCTTAACCCTAAATTGGATGATTAGAAGTGTTAAGGTAAGTCCTCAGTGGTGGGTTTCCTTTGGTTGTTGGAAGATAACTTGAGCATGTAGAGACTTGGGAGCAATCACGAGTTGGAAGCACCAACAAAGTACCAACAAAGCCAGCAGTGGGGATAATGATGTTGTATCAGCAGCCCTGGAGAATTCAAGGGCTCAAATGCAAGGTAATTCCCAAGAGACTTGGGGATAGAGAGTGCTTGGCTGATCTGAGGAGATCATACCTGTGCCACCGAACATTTGAGAGCAGTGAGAAGATGGAGTGTGGTTGATGAAGATGAAGGCAGTGTCTGTCTGTCAAAAATCCTTGTAGTAAAAACAATTCCATATATATTTTTCCCCGTTACTGTCTCATTCTAGCTAGAACTTTGTTTGAAGGCAAAACAGGCCAAAAATGAAACCAACATCTCCACAGCTTGAGACAGATATTTTCTGGGAAAATGGGCCACTGCTGCTTCAGCAGAGTTACTCAGCTCCAGATAGGAGTTACATTTCACATGGGGGCCCTTAGAACAGGTGATGCTCCCATTCCTGCCCAGAGATGCTCCAAGGCCACAGAGGCAAGCCTGTTTTAGCCTCAGTTTTGTCATTTGAGAGCTGCAGTTTGGGTCATTAGGGGTTGTTCTAGTTTTTGGCCACAGATAATGCTTTCTGGTCATCATCTCTTTCAGAATATTACTGGGATGTAAGTACTTCTTCTTGTTATTTCTCTCTTCCCAAATGTAATATTCCCAACTGTATATTCATTATAAATAAGAGAAACACAGGGAATGGACCTCTGAACATACATGAAGGCAAATGCACCCTTTCTCATTACTGTTTTGTGTTAGATACTGTGTGAATATCCCAAAGACACTCACAAAGGACTTGATTACAAGTGGAATGGGGAAAGGGCAGCAAAGAAAACATAGAGGGAGATAAGAGAGACATAAAAATAATGAAACACTGGGAGCAGAGTATTGATGTCCTTATGCCCTGGTAAGGGCATAGAAACAAAAGTTATGTCCAGATTTGAAGAGTTTGCCCTCTCTAAAACCTTCAAGTAGGAACAAAATAAGGATTAGGATTGCATAGTGTCTAATGACTGCTTAAAACTTCTCAGTTTCCATGACTCATGGCACTCATGTAAATCTGTTTCTGACCTCAAGAGATGAACCCATTATCAATCAATAATAGTAGGAGAGATGAAGAGATGTGAGTAATTTTGTTTCACTCTTGCCTGTCACTGCCCTGCTCCTAGAGTTCACTCCCTTGCTGTTGTGCTCTTGCTGTGATGTATAATTTCCACTGCTCTCAGGATGCCTCTCCCAGAAGCTGTGTTAAGGATCTCCTTGTCTCCCAGGCGGATTTAAGATTCAGAAATACCTGTTACCTCCAGTATAAACTCCCTTAAGCACATGCCAGCTGGCAAGGTAGTTCCTTAAAGTGGTAAAGAGAAGCGAAAAATGCCTTTAACGTGGCTTTTGAAAAGTTGAAAAGGGTATTTAAGGCAATCATGGGTTTTTTAAAGATATGAAAATTCTGATAGGAGCTCAGTTTTTACTTCACTTTTCCTGTAATATCTTCTTGGTATTATACAGCAGTGGTACTCCCTGAGGGAACTACTCTGGAACCTAGATGAAAAACAGTGAAAAATTCAACAGTTGGTATTCCACTTTAAAATACTTTCTTCTAGAAGAATACTCTCTTCATCTTTTCTGAAATCACTTTTCCCTAGGCACATGGCATGGTGCTGTAACATGTATCCTAACTCTAGTTTAGAAAGAATTAGGATGGAGATAACTTTTGGGGAGCTAAGTCTCCCCAATACAGCTGTCGATGTGCCTGGTAACAGTTTGGCTGCAAGCAGTCCCAGTGGATCTTTTCTTCTCTGGCTGCTGTGAAGGCAAGTGAAGAGGTGATTCAGTTTGGACTGTGAGGCTGTGGCATGGTCCTCAGCTTTTTTGGAAAGGAAGACTTACTATGATATTTTACTCTAACATGCCCTATGGGTGTTCTTGTTTTGGGGCTGGTGGGACTTTCTTTGTCAGACATTTGCCTTGTCTTTACACATCTATTCTCCCTATCCAAGTACCTTGCTTGATCCATGTGCAAGAACGTGGAAATTGTAAAATTTAGCCATTGTAAAATAGTATTTAAACAGACAAATTCAAGACTTACATTAGTTCATCCTTATTTTAGTCTGACATAACCCTCAGCCTTGGCAATAGGTAGAATTTGTCAGCTATTGTTAGTCAAAGGTGCACTTTCTTTCTCAGCTGACACCAGATGATTTTTGGTCTGTAAGACATAACTGTATCAGCAATGTCATCTGACAGAGGTACAGATGTAGGAAAACGTGCTTACTGCTTAAAACGCGGCTGATATTACTGTTTGGCAGATGGCTACTACAGGTGAATGCTTTCCAGTCATTTTAAGCCCAGTGCAGTGAAGCAGAAAAAAAATAAACTGGATGGACTTCATAGCATGTGATTAAGTGCAAAATCCTTGGGGGAAAAAGTCTCTACAGCCCAGTTTTACAAACACATTTGGCTCATGCTAGCAGAAAACAAAAAGACCGGACTAGTGGAAAAATACATGGTTGCTGATTTTTGTTAAAATGAACTTATAGGAGTGGCTTTGTTGGCTGAGCACGTTCACGTGGATGTGCAGTGTATTATTCCAACCCTTTCTGTAACATAACCATGGTCACTGCGTCACATGGTGCCAGTGCAAACAAAGTCTTGCTAACAGCCCATGAATAGGAGCATTTTTTGAGAATACGGTTTCTCATTGGGACTATCGACTGATTCCTGTGCTACCAAGGGACAACGATAGCTATGGACAGCTTTGGAGGTATAGAAGTGCAGTCATCTGAAGCATGCAAAATAAAAATTAGTGTTTGTTATATAATCAAAAAAATGCTACAGGGGATACAGTTAATTCTGTTACACTTAGTGATTCCTGATTGGTAGGCAGTATCTAAAATAAGAGAGGGTATCTTGTTAAACATTCTACTTCTATGTATATTCCATGTTCTTTTTATTCTCCTAATGTTTGAATCTGAGAGGCCATCATTGAGCTGACTTCCTTCACATAGCAAGACTCCCTGCATTTTCCCTTCTTCTCCATTAGCATCCTATTTGCATCAGATCCAAAATAAGCACTGTTTTCTTGATGGACTCAGCTCAACTTATCTTTCTGATCTCACAGCCATTTATTTTCTTAGCTATTAAGCTACTCATCCTAACCCTCATTTTGCTTCTCATCGTTTCAGGTTATGAATTCATCTAACGGCAGCTCTTTTTGCTAGAACAAAAGCACTTTCTAAAAATATCACTGTAAAACTTTTTCTTTTCCTCTTGACGTTCTCCGAGAAGTGTTTTTGGACGCATATTAGGAAAAACAGAGTAATATTCTATATACACTTATAGGAAATGATGAAACCACACTTATTTAGATTTTGAAGAACATCTTGATTTTTTAACGAACGTAGAAATACTGTCAAGGTTTGATGGACATGAACAGACTTTGTTGCGAGAAATTCTGGCTGTTTCTGAGCCTTCCCCGCATCGGAGCGGAGTAAGCGTGAGGAGGCCGACAGTACCCTGGGAACAGGGACAGCGCCAGACTTGGTACGGAGCACTGCCTCTCCTCAGTCAGTGTTAAGTCGGCATCCCGTAAAGTCCGCTTTGAACTGAGAAGCTCATCCCGGCACCTCACCCGGCGCCCACCAGGGCTGCTCTCCGGCCGCTCCCCCGACGGGCTCCGCATCCCAGCGAGAACGAGCCCGCCCCTGCCGCCGCCGCCGCCACATCCCACTTCCCCCGGCCCGCCTCTCCGCCAACCGCCACACCCCCGCCGCGCTGCCCGCTCCCATTGGCTGAGAGCGACGAGCGACAGGGCCCCTGGCCAATGGGACCCGCGCTGGTGCCGCGCTGGCGCCCAATGGGCTCGCGCGCCCACCGCCCCTGCCCGTCGCGGCCGGGCGCTGGGGCTGCGTGGTGCCATTCGGAGGGCGGGCGGCGTGGGGAGCGGATGGTGCTGGTAGCGGCTCCCGGGCGCTGGCGGGGGCAGGAGCAAGAGCTGGCTGCGAGCGCCTCCCCCCCTCCCCATCCTTCCCCCTCCGGCTGCGTGTCCCCTCGTCGTGCTGTGCCGCCGACCGCCCTGAGCCGGCAGTGCTGTACGATGTGAGCGGCCGTTGGGCTCGGCAGCGCCCCCGGTGCTCTCGACGCTGGGGCGGGCAGCGATGGCCAGAGCCTGGCGTGGAAGCAGCAGCCGCCGTCGCCGATAGGAAACGCCGGGGGCAGCTGGGCAGGCGGCGCGGAGACTCCCCAGGGCCGTGCAGCGCTTGTCCCGCCCCGCCCCCTCCCTCCTTCCCTCCCTTCCTCCTCCTCTCCCCGCGGCCGGTGCATGCGGGGCGCTGGGGGCCGAGCTCGGGTCCCCCGCAGCCACCGGAGCGAGTGACCCCCGGGGGTCTTGCGCATCCCCGCTATGTCCTCGTCCAGCTCCTCGCAAACCCCCCCGTCCCACCACCAGCCCCCGCCGCAGAGGATGAGGCGCGGCGCCGCCGGGTCCCCCACCGCCGCCACGGCCGGGGGCCCCGGTAACGGCGCCGGGGGAGGCTCGGCGGGGACTAGCCGGCTGCTCCAGCCTATCCGAGCGACCGTCCCGTACCAGCTCCTGCGGGGCAACCAGCACAGCCCGACCCGCTCCCCATCCGCCTCGGTGGGCAGCAACACGGGCCCGGGGGGCGGCGGGGGTCGCGGCGGAGGCAGCCCCCCACCGCCGCCCAGCGCGACGCCGCCGCTGGCGGCGGGCGGCGGAGGGGAGTCGGGCAGGGTGAAGGGCAGGCAGCGGCGGTCGCCGGAGAGCGGCGGCAGCAGGAGGAGCAGCTCACCTGAGAGACGGAGCCCCAGTTCCCCGGTGTACAGAGGTAAAGCACCGGGAGAAAGCCGGTCCGGTTTCCCTGCCCCGCGGGGGTGCTGGCCGGGCCGGGGCCGCCCAGGCTCCGGGCACCCCGGGCTCTGTTTTCCGCTGCTGGGCTGCGCCCTACCTTCCCCCGGGCCAGCGGGGGTGGGACACCGGGGGACTCCCGGCCCGACGGGAGTAGCCCCGCCGGAGCCTCAGGGAGCGGGTCGGGGGACGAGGGCGAGCCTTAAATCCCCCGCCCCCGGGGCAGGTGTCGTGCCCGGGTTTGCTTGGCCGGGAAGCGGGGGGAAAAGCGCTTTGTCCCGCCGCCCTGCCCCGCCATGGGGGGAGGCGACGCCTGAAGTGTCATCCTCGTCTCGGGCAAGGTGAGGATCCTGCCTAGGAAAACACCCCCGCGCCGGCCTTGGGAGGAGCGGCGGGGGCGAGCCCGGGGCCGGCGGCGGCTCCGCTCCGCTCCCCGCCCCGGGCGGAGGAGCAGCGGGGGCTCCGATGGAGCTGCTCCTGCCGCTTCTGCCCTTGGCCTCGGGCTCTGGCAGCGGAGGTGTGCAACAGGGAAGCGAGCCTAAAATTAACCCGCTTCCCTGTCTCCAGCTGTAACTACCTAGTAGGGGTGATAATGAGTTAGATTTATATCTGGGGTGTCACAACCCAGTTCTGAAGCGTGTGTTAAAACCAAGCCTCAAATGCTCTTCCTTTCTGCAGAGCTCGGTTTCCTAAAAAACTTGCATTTTTGTAAGATCATAGGTTAAAAGATGTGGTGTTTCCAAGGACAGGCTCCAAAACAAGGAAATTCCCATATTGAGGTACTTAAAAACATGTCTGTCCCTTGTGATACTTAGTACTGAATCCTTGGGACTGTACAAAACTCAACCATACAAAACCCACTAGAAACCAATCCCCGTGTAGCCAAAATAGGCCTGTAAAGTTTAAAACGTAAAATTGATCCCCAGCAAGTCCAACTTTAACCTGTGTCAGGTTGTCTGTTAAATTACTGAATGTGTTAAAGTGGCAGTGGCCATCTTACCTCCCCCACTCCCTTCTGCCTTCTCCCATCACTTGAGCAGTTGAATGAATTGGACTAAATGCACTTTTTATGTTGTCCTGCTGTAGCTATCAGGTATCGCACATCATCTCTTTCTGGGAATGCTTTCTGTGGTTCGATACCACTTGCTTTTTTTGTCCCTTCCATGAGTCTTAACTGTGTGTGATTTCTGTGGCAAATTGTGGTCTGTGTTGGATGCCAGCATGTGTTGTAGCAGTGGAATCTTACCTTCTTTCCTCTTCAGTTTTTATGTGTAGTAAACCCTTGCTGTCTGTAGTAGTTGCAACTTGGGCAGATCTGTCATCAGTATTGTCCTAGGTTGGGGCAGCGTTTTACAAATGAGCAAAATGTCACTGCCAGTTACAAATGGAGTTAATTTGCCCTATGCATCTGCTTATGCAGATGACCTAATTGATTGTGTTATAATCTGACCAGAGATACTTTGTAATGTATTTTTCAAAAAGAGTATTTCTGCAGAGGGTTTTGCGTGCTTGAAAATGGAACTGAGCTTCTGTGGTTTTGATTCATTCAAGCTCTATTTAAAATTTTAAAGATCATATTTTTCTGACTGTATGGAGCACTAAATGTCGATTTCTTTTTTTGCCTCCAACCGTTGGAAAATGCTAATGGGAAACTAGGAAAAACTAAAATATCTGTGTGCATGAGTAGTGGTAGTGCTGATGATGAGCAGTAAATTATTTAATTATGGGAACTCGGAGGAAAACATTGTAGTGGTGCAGTGTATAAAGCCTACGCTTAAGGTGTATTGGAGAGGGAGCAATATGGGCAGTTACCTGCAAGCCACAAAAATACGGCAAAGCTGTGAAGTACTTCATTAATGTGTATGATTTTTTTGTTGGAGGGGAAATTTTAATTTTATAAAGTGGTTTCAGTCTTCTTCATCTATGGGCTATTTTAGCCTTAATAAATCAGACTGTAAATTAGTACTGATTGACTTTTCTGTCATTAGACTTGTTTGAGCTTGCCTCCTGGTGAACTGCGTCACAGAGCTTGATTTGGTTTAATGAGTGCAGTGTATAAAATCATAAATGGTCCGTCGAGAAATGCTCCCTGTAATCTGTATGCACTGCAAAGAATTCGTTCCCCCTCCTCCAGGTCAAGCCAGCTGCTGCTGCAGAAGCTGACATCCTTTAGCAAATCCTGAATGAATGAATGAAAACAACGTGATCGCCCTAATAATGACCACAATTGCACACGTCAACAGCTTTATTTTACTGAAATACAGGCACCATTTTCTAGCAGGCGAGAGTAATAAGATACTCTATTTCTTCAGTCTTGCAAATGAAAAAAGGTTACCAAACCTCCCCTTCATCTGCCCCTCCACCCCCCCCAAAGCTAGAGGTGTTTTTACACAATTTGGAATATAGTTCCATGCCATGGGACAGTATTTTCTCTTTGTTTCTCTGCTTGTTCTCAGCATTTTAGTAAATGATGTGTGGACGCTAAAAGCATGTTTGTAGTCTGTATGGTGATAATAGTATATAGAAATTTGATTACTGAGCTGGAAGACTACTGCAGTAATAATGGAGGACTTGAAGAAAAAATTAAATGTTCCATTTTCAGACATGGACCATTTTGCTGTGGCTTGTTAAACAATGCTACTCCAGCTATTTATAGTTGTTATCAGTATGCAAGTCTTGGGGAAGTGGCTTGATTAAGTTTTTTGTCAGTTTTTCAAAGCCATTTCCCACTGCTGTAAAATGTGAGCTTAGGCTCGAGGTTTAATCCTGTTGTTTTTCTCACCAGTGCAGGAGATGTGTTTGTCTTTGGCTCTGCAGTCTGACTTGGATGCTTGTTCTGGAAACTGCTTATGATTCTGATGGATAGATGTTATTCTCCTAAGACACCTGTCCCCTCCCCACCTCCTTTAAGCCTTTTTCAATATCTTTGCCTTGAACTGGCTATCCTGCTAAGCCATTTTGTGTGGATATTTTAGTGATTTGCTAGAGGTTCCTTTATGAAGGAGATTTCTGTGCAAACACTCCAGCTTTGAGCCTCTACAGGTCAGAGCAGCTACCACTGCAGGCGCTGACATCACTACTACATGAATGAAAGCAGCAGGGTCTGTTTCTTCTCCCATCATCATGTTTTCTACCCTTTCTTTCTAGTATACTGTAAAGGTTTTTGTTCTGTAGCAACACCCTGTGTTTTTAGGACTGAAACTTTCAATAATGTGATATTTTCTTTTAAGCAAATTTGAGGACTTGTAGTTGTTAGCAAGCCATCAATGCCACTAGCAGTATTTGGTTAGTACTGTTGCTGAATGGGTTAGAAATCATAATGTTAGATATATATTTTTAAGGTGCTAAAACAAGAGGGAAAAAGAGGGGAAAACCTGATATCATTGGATAAATCTGCAATGTGCAAGTCTACACCTTTCCTCTTTCTTGAAATGTGTTTATTCCTTACTAGTAGATATTTTTTATAGTGTGTGTTCGTGTTTTGGAGAGCTGGCAGTGGAAAAAGTGTCTGGTTGAATGTAACAACACATAAGTTTTCTTAGAGGGAATATATCTGTTAGATCTCTGAGTGCATAAAAGTAATGTCAACAGAATCTGAAGCTGTGTGGTTTATGACAAAGGATATTCTGGTGATAATCCAAAAAAGCCAAACCCTTGGACATGTCAAATAAAACTTCCTATTTGCCTGTGGACACATCTTTTAAAGAAAAAAAGCAACTTGTTTTCCTCCTTGCCTTACCTGGATAAAATCAGCAGTGTCTGGTGTTATGTAAAGTAGCTTGTATAAATATCAGAGTGGGTTTCCTGTTTAGTTTCTTTTTTTCATGATACGTTAATATTTTGTATACAAGGAGGGTGTGAATTACTTCTATGATTCAAAATCAACACTGCTCTCACCAAATGCTTTGATTTTGGTTTTAACTCTTGTGGTACTGTAATATGCCTCATATTTTTCTAACTTTCACTTACGTATTTTATAGAACAAACTTTTTGCCATTCCATTTCCAGATGTTAAAGACAAACGTTAGTTTTAAGGACATATGAAAAATACTGTGATCAGTTTGGCTGTTAAAGGTTCCCGGTGTCTTTAACTTCCCAAAATAACTCCTGAAGATTTGCCAGCATGAGTGAGAGAAAGGAATTACAAAGGATGCAAAACAACTGCATAACCCAGTTCAGTGTAAGAAGTATATATATCTGGTTTTAGGCTAGTGGAATTAGGAGTGGAGTAAAACAAACAATATTGTTGATCTCTAGACTTGTAAGGGATATCAATATTTAAAAAAAAATCCAAAATTTGTACTTCAAAAGGTAGAACTATTTTAATATCCTGGATTCAAGCTGTCCAATATTTTGTCATCAAAGGCATTTATACCAGAGATCAAGAAGATCTTGCCTTTTTTTCTAGCAAATGTAGGTAAGGAAGTAGTTTTTGTGACGCTTCCTATTTCCTGATCCTTGAATAATGTGGTATTCCCATAACTGTATGGCCAAAACAGTTTTGCTCCAGCTTCGTCCCTCTCGCTTCCCAAAATAGCTTTCATTGGAATATAATATGATGACATAAAGGACCCTGGCTGAATTTGATCCAGTTGTCCTGAACTCAGAGCCTTTTTAACTACATGTTTTAACATGACTATAAATGAGAATGGTGTATTAAATGTCTTTAATAAATAATGCTTTATAAAACAAATTAATTGAGCTTCTTTCAGGTGTTAAACTGCAGGAAGAAAAAATAGGAAGGTATTTTCTTTGTTGGACTTGAATAGTGCTGTAGCAAGGCATTAGCTTTGAAGACAGAACCCCCCTGTTTCATGGAAAAAAAAAAAACTAACTTAAAAAGTGTATGATTATATCTGTTTTAAATCACTACTTGAGCTTTAATTCTTATTTTGTGGACAGAAGCAATTATTCTTGTGTTACATATGGGCAAACTGAGGTTACTTGCCAACGTCTGTGCATAGTAAAACAGTGGCAAAT